CGGGCACTCGGCAAAGAGGCTGTTTACCGAGTGCCAGAGAGAAACCACTCGGCAAACAACTGACACTGAGCAAAGAGGTGGTTTGCCGAGTGCCGAGCACTCGGCAAAAAATAACACTCGACAAAACTGGATTTGCCGAGTGTTATTCTCCTCACACTCGGCAAAGGGCCGCCGCCGTTAACGGCCGGCATTCGCCGCTAACCCTTTGCCGAGTGTCTTCTCCTGACACTCGGCAAAGAGGTGATTTGCCGAGTGTCATTTCCTGACACTCGGCAAAGTCGTGATTTGCCGAGTGTCACTTTTTAACACTCGACAAACCATATTTTTTTTTTCACTTTTGACCTTCAAACTTTTTCTGCAGTCCTCATACAATACTTGGTGCTCCATGTTCCAATGTGGCACATTTCTCGGACTTTTTCTATATTTCTTTAATTTATTTCATTTAATTGAAATTTCTTGGATAATTCAAATTATAACTACTAGTCATTCGAATAATGAAAAAAATGAATGGAAAAATGATATTTATGTTATTTAGTATAATGTGAAACTTGTCAAGATGTCATGATATCATATGGAGGCCATAAATTTTGAGAATCTTGTTCACGAAACATGACCATGAACTTGCTTGCAAACCAAGAATTTTCAAAATTCTATAAAAAGCAAGCGAGGTCGTAAAATCATGAAACTTGTCAAACCTGTCAAATTTTATCATATGTCCACATATGATATCATGACATTTTAGAAGTTTCAAGATTTTCACGTTCGATGCTTGCTTTTTATAGAATTTAAAAACAACTCAACCGCAAGTTCTTGGTCATGTTTTGTGAACAAGATGTTCGAAATTGGTGGTCTGTTCCTGGATACGGCCTCACATTATACTAAGTAACATGAATATCATTTTTCCATTCATTTTTTTTCATTGTTCGAATGACTAGCAATTATAATTTGAATTATCCAAGAAAATTCAATTAAATGAAATAAATTAAAAAAATATAGAAAAAGTCCGAGAAATGTGCTACATTGGAACATGGAGTACCAGGTATTGTATGAGGACTGCAGAAAAAGTTTGGAGGTCAAAAGTGAAAAAAAATATGGTTTGCCGAGTGTCAAAAAATGACACTCGACACATCACGACTTTGTCGAGTGTGAGGACGTATGACACTCGGCAAAGAATTTATTTTTTTTAAAAAACCCCCTCTTTGCCGAGTGCCAGATTAGGGGCACTCGGCAAAGGAGGGATTTAACCCTGTCGGCCCAGCCGGCCCACACACACCGCACACACGCACGCAGGCAGACCGCGCCAGCGCCGCCCGCGCCCGCGCCCGCCCGCGCCGCCCCCCCCGCCGCGCCGCCGGAGGAGGAGGAGAAAGAGAGGAGGGGGAGGAGAGGAGGAGGCCAAGAGCTTGGCAGCGCTCTCGCCGACGCCCCGGCCTGGTACATATATATCGTTTGCACCTCTAATGTTGGTTTCCATATTATGATTTGATGTAGATGTATAGGATCCTAAAGTAGTATCTCAATTTGTTCTTACAGCTGGAAACATGTTATGTCATTTGTAGAGGTTTGGAAGCAAACCATTTTATTTGCATCAGAGAACATTTCCATTATATGTATTTACATTTTGTCACTGTGATGCAGCTGTACTGATCAATTTGGTTGAGTCCTGGCTATAAATTTAGGATATAGCAGCCTTCTCAAAAATGTATTTTAGACAATGAAATCAGATTCTGCATTCATGTGAGTCAACACACACAACACGCTCTCGCTCGCGCTCTCATTTAACTGTAATGCGCTGATCGACTCTACTCACATTTAAATATCACCAAATCATATAAAAACCAAATTAATGCTGAAATATAATCACACTGCAGGAATTAGTAGAAAATGACTGATTCTTTAACTGTAATAACATGTTACAACCACAACGGAACAGCTCCCTTTGCTTTTCCAATCACAACAGTCAAAAGATTGCCAGCAGAACTGAAAGCTCCAGGCCTTCTGGACAACATGATAAAAACAAAATACGACACCTACAATTGGTGCTGAACATAAATTAAATAACTAAGAACAGTCGAAATACGACGCAAGCTAAGAACAGGCAGACAAGGCAATGTTCTGTTGCATAAAGAAGCAAATAGAAAGGTTACGCAATAGAAGATAATGACAAGCACCACTTGCTTGACAAATAAATGAAACTTTCAAGTTAACAACTTGGTGAAACTCAGCAACCCTTTCTCTCTGTCTGAGGTCATCCAAACAAAGTTCCCTCAGCCCCCTCCCATGACTTTAATAACTACATAAATTAACTTCCACCTCAAAACATGCCATGATTTCGCTTGTTCTTTCTTCTTTCAGCTGATCGAATAACCTACCATTTTCATTCTTTAACACATCACTACTGGAAACTCGAATACTTCTGTGGGTGATGAATTTTTCTGTGCGTTTTTCTCTATACACACAGAAAATTCGTATTTTTTCTGTGCGTTTCAAAAATCCCGATAGAAATATTCGAAAAACCACAGAAAAGATTTTTCTGTGCGTATCAATACACACAAAAAAATTGACATTATTCTGTTGGTCTTTTCAAAACTCACAGAAAAACTATATACACGCACAGAAAAACTATATACACACAAAAAAAACCCTAAACCTATCTCCAGACGCGCCGCCCATCCCTATCCCAAACGCGCCGCCACTGCACCCGCCCGAGACCACCACGCCCGCACTCCCGTCGCTCCCTAGGTCTCATGGCGGCCACCCCTCTCTCTTCCACCGTCGTGGTGGCCACCCCTCCTCCACCACGGTGAGGCCACCACCCCTCATCCACTACAACTCCTCCCCTCCCTTCCCTCGGAAGACGGCGGTGGCTGCCCGTGCAAGACCGGATGGCGGCGCCTCCGCCCCCAGATCTACCTCCTGCCGCACCAAGGAGCTTCGCCGCCCGCCGCCCCCAGATCTGCCTCCCCCTCCTCTCTTCCACCGTCGCGGCGGCCACCCCCTCCTCCATCGGTGAGGCCACCACCCCCTCCTCCACTACAACTCCTCCCCTCCCTTCCCTCGGAAGACGGCGGTGGCTGCCCGTGCAAGACCGGATGGCGGCGCCTCCCTCCTCTAGACCGGCCAGCGGCGCCTCCCTCTCCTACCAGATCCAACCGGTGCCCCCCTCCACCCACATCCGGCTGGCGCTACCTCCCTCCTCCAGCCGGCGTCGACTCCCTCCTCTAGATCTGCGCTCACCCTGGTCTTCGTCGAGCCTTCGACATTCGCCAGCGACGAGCGCCCACCCCTTTGCTCTCCCTTGAAACCGAGCACCCAAACCCTAGCTAACGTAATCTATTTGGGTTTTTGTGCTCGGTTTAGGATTCGATTTGGGGGGTGGATCGATAGATCAATGTGTGTGAGCTGCGGTTGCTCAAACCTGGTTCATGTTTAATTAACCTGTCACATGTGTGCTATTTTTAGAATTAAAAGCACGCTCCTGTTTTTAGCATTGATTGATGGGTGAGGACACATTATATCGTCTCCAAATACTAAAATGCTAAGAATATGCTTGAGAAGCATGCAAGTAAGTTTCATTGTAGTAGAATATTCCTGTGCTATTCACAAAGAAGAAATTTGCATCACTGATTTTAGTTTCTAGACAGGTAGTGTTTCAGCTTTAGAAACCCAAATTAATTGAGGTGGAAATGGATGTGCAAGAGGATTTGTCCTATGTACTGAGCTTAGCTCTCATCACCCAAATTAATTAGGTAGAGAACAATTTCACAACCTATCATTTTTGAGCCAAAACTGGAGAACATTAGAACAATGAATTTGGATCTTTGTTTTCTCAAACAAAGCTTTACTTGTTGCTGGTTTGAGTGATTTGATTGGTCGATTGCCTCCGAGTTAAGGTCTGTTTGTTCAAATGTGTAATTTTATGCGTGCTAATCTACGCTGACTATTTAAGATCGAGACTTTGAGTACTACAAGTGGGTCCTAACTCTAGTAGAATGCTAATACCGCGCTTTTGTCATCATGTTTTGTTCAGTATTTCGTGACCTATTTTTTTTCTTATTATTATTTTGAGATATCATCACTACTCTGTGCTAGTATATAACTGATCTATTCCTTTACACTGCCTTACTTTCTCGAGCCTTCTCGTGCTGATTATTTGTTGAAGGCAATGCTTAATTCGTGCTGATTATTTGTTGAAGGCAATGCTTAATTCAATATATTTGTAAAAGTTGGGTCCTTTAGATGGTGCTTTTGTTGTAACATAGGAGTAATTGTTGTTTCTCCTCTTTTTTCAAGAAATAAAACCCCATCTCAATAAGATCCATTTGTTTCTTAATTTCTAGGTCGAAGTGCTATTCTTTGCGCTCAAGCTAAGCAGTGGTGTGATACTGGGATCCTTGCCAATAAGGTAAAACTCTAATCTTTTGACATTACTTAATTCTCAATCTATCTTGGGTTAGCGTTTCACATTACTTAATTCTCTGTTGTACTGAAATGCTATGTATGTGTAGTCATTTCCATTGTCACAAGACCATTACTGAACTGTACCTACATCTATTTTGGTCTACAAATTTTTTTAGACATCTTTCTCATATAAGAAAACTTGCCCATTCTACCATGTTAGCTTTCTGTTATTGCATTCATGTGACAAACCACTCAAGATTACTCAACTTCTCACACGGAATATTATGGGTTCAACTTCTAGAAGAATGTTCTTCTCCTCTATTGTTAGTTCAAACCGTTGTCTTGGTGGAGGTGGACCCCTCTCATCCGGTCTCCTTGGGGGTCTCCTAGGATTGTTTCTTTGGCTGCTCCAATTACCAGATTTAGCACCCCATCCATCTGCTTTCTAGTCCTTGTTACTAGAATCAGCTGTCTCTTTCCATTGAGCAGTACCTTGTGAGTTCTCAGCAGACACAACATTCCAGCCATCCCAAGAATCTATTTGCTTAGCATCTGAATTGCCCACTGGTGTTGCAAATGAGATTACCCCCCAGAGTCTTCTATGGCAGATTACTCCATGTGTCTGATTCTTTTGGGACTTTCAGATGCTCATCAGACTCCATCTTATCTTTCTCACCCCAACTGGATCCTACATTAGACTTGGCATTTGGTCTTCCAATTCCATCTCTAGCATTCCAAGCAAAGCCTCCCCAATCAGTGGAATTGTCCTGCACCTTAGCATGCACTTCCCATGAATTATCTTGATCTGCTGGCTTTGTAGCCGCTCCACCTCCACTACTCTAGCCTCCCCAATCAGTGGAATTGTCCGGCACCTTAGCATGCACTTCCTATGAATTATCTTGATCTGCTGGCTTTGCAGTAGCTCCAACTCCACTACCCCAACCTCCCCAGTCACCAGAATCATTGGCAGCACTAGCATTTTGTTCCCAACTTGAGTTCATTGTTGTGCCATTTTCCCATGAGCTGCCTTCTGAATATTTTGCTCTCCAACTTAAGTATTATACAACACCTCAGAATATCTAATTAACCCAATCAAACTAGAATAGACACTAATCCTAAACAAGGCAAGATCTACCAATCCCCAGAAGTCCTTTGGTGGGGAATAAATGTCCTTGGTGGTGTTCTTTGCAATCAAAATCTACTGACTTAACCATTAATATTAAAACATGCTTGGTTGACAAACATGCACAACTTGATTAAAGGCACATGAGATGCCAATAAGTTTCCTCACTTGCTGAATGCCATATGGAATAGACCTCCGTGTGTCAATGAGGTCAAGTACAGGTAAGCAAGCATCAATTGTTGTCCTCCAGGCATCACCATTGCTTACAGCATCATCTTTTTCAACAATGATTTCTAACGCTGGCTCACCCTTTGATTGCAGCGTCGAATCAAACTCCATCTACATCGAAGGGTAAGCAGTTCAGTATGTCAAGTTCCTGCAGCTGCAAATAAAGGTAGTTCTTTTGTGTCCTAGTTAAGTCAGATCAACATTAGAAAAAACTTTAGTTCACAATTCTAGTTCTCCATCATGCGCAACATTAACCTATACAGAGCATTGTTACATATTAGGTTTGGGAGAACAGAGCATTGTATACTCTGCATTTAAAAATACTAATTCGATGTGCAGGAGCATGCCTCTCATTTACCTTCCCTTTTTTTCCATAACAGCTCCTGAGCTCTGAAGATACATGGATGTACGCACCTCTTGCCTATAACCACATGAGCATGGACCTCAGTCCAAATGTTGCTGTGACCCAATCATGACCGTCCGAAATGAGTTGTCTGAACTGATCAGAAGGGAGCTAGAACATAGTGCATGGTCCATCTTTTCATAAATCTGTAATTAGCCCTAACTTTACATTCTTCAGTTGCTTCTTGCAAGTATGAGCAAGAAGTTCTTTTGAAATAAAAATTGGACCATGGGTTCCCTTGCCATATGAGATATCGATAGTTCACGGAAATGGGAATTTTTCTAGGGTGCATTAATGAATGTGCTGAACATTTGGATCTTTATATGTATGCTGAAACGACCTGATTTTTGCGAAGGGAAATCCACAGAGTCGATGTGTAATAAGACCGTTGTAGATCATATTACCCAAATTCCAGTCAAATATCACATCCATACAACGATAATATCAGAGTACAAATAGTGCGGAATTACATAAATTATTACATCGCTGTATTGGCGGAATCAAAAGTAGCATTCATTCAGAACAGCTTGAAGATAAGATTGCCAAACTTGAGCGTAGGAACGAACCCCTCAACCATCAAACTCCTCAGTGCTATACTCCTCAGCAGAACCTGTGTGCCAAAATTTATCAGTACGATTTGTACTAGCCACTCCCACCCTATGAGCATTGCTTTGTGGAAATTGGATGCAAGTTGGATATAATAAAAAAGGAACCTATAAGGCTGGGGTTTCCTATGTTTTAGCATATCAAGTATATAAGATTAGTTGGTCAAGTTTTAACACCATTCCCACACCCATTCCACCCCACTTCCGTCTAGAGCCAGGTTTCGATCCTGGGATCGATATACCACCATCCCCACACCATCACCATACCACACCCATACCATCGCTCAGTCGATAGGCCAACTCCCTCTCGGCACTGTCTCAAGGCCCGTAGCCCCTGGCTACGTCCGAACACTCACTCCCAGGGGGAGAAGAGAAGGACTCATCTCACTATCTAGTTTAAGCGAAACCCAAGAAAGGTCCATAGCCGATAAGTCGGCATATGTATCGATCGATCAACCATACACTCTGTAGAGGTTTTACATAACCACAAGATCTGCCTTCCTCGCTGACCGTCATCAACTGGGCTGATTCCGGCCGCTTGCTAGCCTAGGATAATGCCACTCTACCATTCAGCCCTGGTACACCCCAACTCTAATCTAGGGTGGCTAAAACTGTGAGTCATGAGCCGGGTCCACAAGGTCTCCATGAAGTCTTGGAAGGGTGTGGGGGAAATCCTCCGCGCCCCGTACCTCCCTCACACTGTCCGCTATTAACCTAGCAGTAGTGGCAATATCCTACCTAGTACTCCGGTCGTCCCGCACCATATAGGGCGAGTGGTACGTAAGGCTTCTCGGTGAATCTGAGTACTAGTAAGTCCTTAGGGATGACCAAGCCAGAATGTCTTCATCAGGGTTTCCATTTACCGTGCCACCACAGCACCTCCACCCTGGGTTCCTCCCATCACAGGTTCACACCCAGGGCCACCTCATATACCGTTTACCCACCACAGGTATCCATTCCAAGGGTGCCCAGGTAGCACCCCACGGTAAGACTTGCCCCAGGATCGTCGTATACTCCAACTTGGTCGACACAAGCCTCACCCTCCACGCACCCAAGTCACACACGCAGCACTCTCCCCATAGTCCAGATAACACCAGTTTTCCACCACGCATCAATGTAGAATAAGCGTAGTAGAGGTAATAAGCAATGAAATATAGTAGCGAGCGTGTGACTAGCCTAACAGCAGGGTGTGCAGGGGTAAGGTTGTGTCAAGGTAAAGGCCATCAAGAAAGCATACTACCATGCAAGTCCTATCATACTGTGATCATGACAATAAAGTAAGCACTAGCATTTCTATTTTAGCCATGCGTAATAGGTGCTACGAGATTGGGTGGGATGTGGCACCTTCAGTGTAGTCATCTCCGTACTCGTCACGGTACTCACGATCCTCGTCCGTTCGGTTCTCCTCCGAGTCCACAAACGATCGCATTATAGTCGCGTTAGCGACGTCTATAGAATAGCACAAAGAAGCAATGAAAATTCAAAAGAGCCAAATGCACTTAAACATGGGTTCATTGCGTAGAGCTCGATTTTAGATGAATTTTGGTCCTAGTTTCGTATTTTTCTGAGGTCATATGAATTAGTTATGAATTTTTGAAGTTTAAATCATTTCTGCAAATGAAAAAGGCTGAATTAATCCTGGGCTGACACGTGTCATGCTGTGACTGGTCCACGTGGCATGCTGACGTTAGCATGACATCATCATCTCAGTTCCGAGCTGACAGGTGGGGTCCAGCTGACGTCAGCATGACGTCAGCATGATGTCATCAACGTCATCAGTTCCGACAGGTGGGTCCAGGGGCTCTTGGGTCACTGACATGTGGGTCTAGTCAAAGTCAATGTCAAGTCAACGAGTGAGTTAACGGTCAATGGTTAGGGTCACTGACGTGTGGGGCCAGGGCTGCTGACGTCAGCAGCTGGCGTCATCGTGACGTCAGCATGACGTCACCTCGGATGTGATGTTACTGACAGGTGGGACCCGCGTGACGTTGTCATGACATCAGCATGACGTCACTCACTAACATGTGGGTCCCGAGCCTCTGTGTCGCTGACATGTGGGGCCAGGTCAACGTTGACCGGTCAGCGGTCAACACGGACTGGGTCCGAACTGGGCCGGTTGGGCCTGGTCAGGGCTGGATTTGGGCTGGGCTCAGCCCGGACACGTGGCGTGCTGTGGCGCTGCCGCGTCGTAGCCGAGGGCCTCCAATGGGCTTTGTCCACCGTTCGGCCCACACCGTGTGGCTCACGATGGACTCATGTTCACGGTCCATGGACCGTTGGCTGGTCTTCGGTGGACCGAGTCCACCCTCCTTCCCTTTTGGCTTAGCCTATGTGCACCGAGTGCAGGCACGTGTGGCCGGCGAGGGAAGCTCTCTGTTTCCATCCCCGGTGTGCTCCCGCCGGTGGTGTGCTCATCGGCGTGATCCTACGGCGGCGCTGGCGTTCAATTAAGGTGGGGTAAAGATTCCCAGGCCATGGCGAACACGATGGTGGGGTCTAGGTTGCGGCCGGAGCTTTCCAGGGCGTTGGCCACGGCGGTCGGCGGCTTGGTCATGGCGGTGCTCACCAACAGGGCAGCTAGGGGCTGTTCTAAGGGTCCTGGTGCCCCGTTCCTGTTTAGACTGCTAGCGAGTGACCGGGACAAGTGACGACGGTGACCAAAAGACGTGGCGGAGTCCGCGCGCGGTGATGGTGCATGGCGGAGCTCCGGCCGAGGTCCGATGCTCGTGGCCGGGGCGCTATGGTCGGCTAACGGGGTCTCGGTCTATGTGGCTACCCTTCAGGCGTCATGGTGGTGCTACGGCAACATCCTGGTCCGGCGAGGTGGACTGGTGCGCAAGTGGTGGCCGCGCCATGACGGCGGCGTCGTGAGCGCGGCGTGCGCGTGCTCTGCTATGACGTCCATGGGGCTAGGAGGAGTCTCAGCAGCGAGGGGCTCACCGTTGGTGTCGAAGGCGAAAGGATGGCGATGCAGGGGAGGGTCGTGGCCATGTAGATGGAAGCAGTGCAGTGCCGACCCATGACCGTAATGAAGACGACAGCGTCGTCTTCGGCTCTGACGACTTCGGCAGCACGCGGGTGGCTCCGATCCTTCTCTCCCGAACTCCTTCTCAACCCTCTTCTCTCGGTGCGGTGCAAGCTGCTGGGCCACCAAGCGGCGGCGGTGGCTGAGGGATCCCTAGGGCTCTGGGCATGGCTTTATAGCCCCTGGTGCCCGAGCTCCATCTATGGCGGACAGGGCGGACGGCTGGTGATGTGCCGTTGGCATCGAACGGCATCGTGGGCGTGGGTGGTTGGCGCGGAGGTTGCGTGGGCGCGGCGCCAAGGGGACATGGCTAGGCGATTCATGTGACCCCGGGCCCGCGCCTATCATTTTGGTCGAGTCACGGTTGGAGGCGGTGCCGGCATGGGGAGGAAGACGACACTGTGGCGGTGAGTGGCTGACACATGGGGTCGGATGATGATGACAACAAGCGAAGGGCGCGTGTGGGCGTGAGCGTCCACGCCGGTCAAGTTGGTTGGGCTGGGCTGGCCGCGTGAGTTGGGCCGGTCTGCTGCTTGCTACAACGTAAGTTAGGTCGGGCTGGTCACACGCCTGCCCAATGAAAAAAGCAGAGCGAGCCAACCAATCATGGGCCTTCTTCCCTTCTTTTTCCTTTTTTAGTTTTATTTTTCTTCTCCTTTGTTTGAATTCCAATTTGGTTTGAAATTTGAATTCAAAATTGGTGTATCATAGTCATTGTAGTTTTAGATATGAGGCCCACAACATTCTTTCATATATATATATATATTAGAAATTTATTTAGCTATTTTGTATAACAAAAATAAGTGTAGTTTTGTTATACAAAAATGGAAATAGTTTTCTCTTTATACATTTATTCTTTGGTTTGAGTAATAACTACTTTATGGTTTATTTCTTTAAAGGTGTTGTTAGACATTACATAAAACAAATGAAAATCCAAATCACCATTTGAGTTGACAATGTATGCTATGTTTCATTTGTCAGTATTTAAATAAACAAGATAACAAATGACATGCCATGCTCATGAAATTGTCTAGTTGGGTTACTTCTAATGCAACACTTAGGGTTGGCTCCTACAATG